CGTTTTGTGGACTTCTTAAATGAGGAATCGATTTATTCAAAAGTATCTCAAATTTTCCAAACATAAATAAAGGAGAAAAAGAAATTGCTTTGTCGGTAACACTGTGATTTCATTTGTGTATTTTGATGTTCTATCGTAATTTTTAAGTTATCGTTTGTTGTAATGACTTGATGCTTTATCGTAATTTCAATTTTACCATGTATCATAGTAATGTCTTTCAATTATCCCCTTTCTCACTTAGATTGAAACTATTCAATATTTTTTAATTTACGAAAATTGGTCAAAAGTCAACTATGTATGACTCAAATCACAAATTAGAAATTTGAAAATAAGGTGTTTTTTAAGCTTGATTTGAATCACAACTTTGACTGGTTTGAGTGTGTGGTAGTTGCAAGGTATGTTAGATAATATAATGTTTTTGTATATTATTTATTATAATATTAAAGAATTTGATCGTGATTATGATTTTTAGATTATAACTTTCAACAAAGAAAAAGAGTAATTTCTTCTCCAAAGAAAAAAATAGTTAGCGTCGATCAAAGATCTCTACAGACAAAGTTTTAGAGTTTCTAACTCCTTCAAGAGTTCAAAGACTCATACAAAGGAATTTCAGTATAGTTGAGTGAAGATCGTTGCGTATAAAATCTTTGAGTGTTTTAGTTTTGGGAAGGCGATTATTTCAAGATTGAGTGAAGATCTTGGGAATTAGTTGTTTTGTGAGATGCGTTTAACATAACAAAAATTAAGATTCAAATATGTATTGCTTAAATTGTTGACATTATGTTTTTACTATTGTCTATAATTATTTGTTCTACAAAAACATTATGTATTAATTTGTGATATAATGCAAGATCTAACGAATTTTTAATGGTTTGTCATTGGAGACTGGATTAGATGCAAGTGAGGACGACACATTTGACCAACATAGATACTGATGTACGATTTTGTATGCCTCTCATTTAAATTTATGTATAGTTTATATGTTCATAGGTTTTAATCATTTTCTAGCATTGTATGATCTTAGGGGCTTTGTTGTGTTATATAAGTGTATGTTGTTAGGTTTAGCGTTCATAGAATTTTAATGTTTGAACTTAGGTTCTTGTTAGGTCATGTATGCTAAACATTCTCTCTGCTTATTATATATGTATAAACATGTAATATTTGATCCTCCCTTGATTAATATAATTATATTAAAAACTTCTCGTTGTGAATCAGATTCAATTAATTGGCACATTTAACATTAGTAGTTTAATCCATCTTCTTTTCATTATATGTATAATCATTAAGCAATTTGCAAACTTGTTCCATTACACACATTTTCTAAAAGATCTATGAAATTATGCTCCCATAAATTTTTAAAACTCTGATTTAAAATCTTTTTAAAAAGAATTTTTATTATGGGTAAATTTAGACCATTATACTTCCATACCACCCCTAACAAAAACTTTCACATCTTTCAAGTGTTTATATAGTGGATGTAGTTTCTTTGGGGCTTAAGGGATGCACAAAATATCCAATTTTAAGTTCAAACCACAAATATATTCTTAACGGTTTTAAAAAAACTAGATATTTACAATGGTTTTTCAAATGTTTACAAACAGTTGTAGATATTGTGGTTTATATGTGATTATGTGAAATGAATTCCCAAAAGGTATAGAAATTTTGTGAATGGAAGGAGAAATGTCAAAAATTAATACCACGTGCAATTAGGCTAGTTCTGACTGAGACTTAACATATGCCTTGATATTAAAAAATTTATTCTTTTAAAAGAAAACAAATGAGTTTGACATCTAATCATCTTCGAATATCAAACTTTGATGGAGAACAACTATTGTTGACCACGCATTTAGATTCGACCGAGTCTTCACTTCTATTTTCTTTCATGTGATCATCAATTGGTTTTTTCATTATAAATAAAAACTTTTAGACACTTTTCAAATTACATAAGAACTTCACAATTCTTACTCTATTTTTTACGCTTTGAGTATTCTGAGACACTTCTTTCCTTTCTACTCGTTGAGCATTCAAAGTAGTCTTGTTACCTTTATAAACATTTCTCTTTGAAAAAATCACAACAAATATTTGTAGCTTTTCGAAGAGGTTTTATTTATTTATTTTGGTAAAAAAAGGGCTTAAGGCTAAAATAAGAGAAAAACTGCAACGAACTTAATCTTGGGTACGACACCCCTAAAACATCAGCCTCTAACAACTTCACAATATCACCATGAGTATTATCTGCAAATACTTTATCCTCGCTTTTGGATATCCCACATTTTGCGAGGACATGCGTATATGTATTAGCTTCCATATACGTGTATACCACCTTCACTATCTCGTGCAACTCCATAAGAGTAAAGATCAGTTTGATAAGTGAGTTTCCATTTGTATCTGAAGAATTCCCTGCCACGAGAAGCTTGACAATAGAAACGAGTCCACATTTGATTCCACTCTCCCTATACCTAAACTCTTGGTGAGAGATAACCCTTCATAAGTACCATATAGCTCCGCTAAAAAACCACTACACTTCCCAACATTTTTGGAAAAACCACCTAAACAACTTCCAATCTTGTTTAGAATATTACCCTCACAACTGGAATTATTATTTATATCACTTGGCCTGTCAATATTAAGTTTCACCCAACCCTTCTCTGATGGTTTCCACCCGACCATTATAACAATCTTTTATATGTTTCTCACTATCTCATCATTCTTCATTGCATTCTCATACTCCTCAATTTTTTCTCGAACATACCTTTCTAAAAATTAGGGCATATGGTACCCTTTATCATGACTCTCCTTATTTATCCAACACCAAATATTATGGCAACCACTTGCCCAAAATCTATTCTATTTGTTACTCTCATTAAGGTTAATTACATTCAATCATTGGGCTCCATATTAAAAAAAAAAAACTCCACTTGAATATTAGCTGACACATTATTCAACCAAAGTTATTTAACCTCAATACAATCGTGAAACACATGTAATTTCGTCTCCTTCACATTCACACAAAGCTTGCAATCTGTTATCCCTAAACCTTTCATACTTTTTTTATAGGTGGTAAGAAGTTGATCATGTCCAAGAAGCCAAACAAAACATCTCACTCTTTCCTAAACTTAAAATTGCCAAATTTTCCTCTACTTATCATCTCTACGCGAACCCTCATTTCTAGTCAGACTCTCATACATGCACCTAAGTGAATAGTGATCCTTCCAACTTTCTGTCATAAGAAACTCATTTTCACCATGATCTGCTCGAGGAGGAAGAAACACTTTAATTTTTTGAATTATCGAATTCGACATCCAAAGATGAAACTTCTGCCAATCCCATCTACCTCCGTTATTAATGAGATCCTGCACCTTAGAATTCTCCAGCTCCTTGTGTATATCAATTTCAAGTCTTTGAAAAACAAATCCCAATTTGATTCAACAATCGTCCCAAGCATCAATGTCAACACCATTTCCAATACTTTAACTTCCATGTTTCAACACTTCATGCATGAGTCCGATTACATCTTTCCACAACTTGAAATTTGTACCTTTGCTCTTACAATCATGCAGCTTCTGCAAATTATATGGGTTCTTCAATACATTACACCAAAGATCATTATCACCATTGAGAAGTTTCCAAACTAATTTCAGAAAGCATGCCTTATTCATTTGATATAGTTTGTGAAACCCTAGCCCTCACGCTCCTTTAGTCATTGATAATGATATCGTATCCCATTTAACTGCTTGAAACCTCTTTTTGTCCATTGCATCCCCCCAAATAAAGCTTTTATTTTTTTGCATTATATGTATCGCGTCTATACAAGCTTTAGGAAGGATATTCATCATCATTAGATAGACCGAGACTGCTTTTATGACACTTTTTGCCATCATGATGCGACATGTAAAAGAAAGATTGTTAGTTTTCCAATTAACTAACTTTGAAGCCCATTGTTTTATCAGGTATTGAAAATCTCTGCGTCAAAGCCCCTTTCCACTAATCAAAACTCTAAGATATTTGTCCAAATCCCGTGTCTCCCAGAACGAAGATGCTTGCGTGATTTTCATCTTCAAACTTCGAGATACATTCTTCGAGAACATAACACAAGTCGTCTCCTTACTCACTTCCTGACCTCAACATATCACTAAAATTTCAGAGAATATCCATCACACAATCCATCTATTCCTCTTTGACTTCACCCACTAATAATAAATCATCCGCAAACATCAAATGCGAAATCCATGACCCCTCCTTTCCCATGCGTAACTCTTTCCATCTTTTGTCATCTACTACCTCCTTATGACAACTTTTCCATACAAAACACAAAAAGATCCATTGAAATGAGATCTCTTTGACTAATACCACATTGAGGTCTAAAGAACTCCTTAGGAGTAATCTTAAAATAATATTTTATTCTATCCAAAATAACATAATTTAAAAATTAAAAAAAAAAGTTATATTTAAAGACAATATTTAAAAAACAATAAACACATGTACTACACACACGTATGAACTACATGTTTTGACTTCGTCTTCCATCATTCATTTTTTCATCTGCTAGTTGCTTGGAAGCACAAGGATGACCATGACCACGACGAACAAAGCAATGAACCCATATGTCACTACAACCTTATATTTAATGCTCTATAGCCGTCTGAAAACGACCCTTTTAACACCTTGTCCTTTCTATATTCCACATTTTTCATCACAATTTTCATGGTCAATATCAACAAAAAGAAGAAAATACAAACTGGGTCGGTGTTATTCTTTGCTCTTTCTGTTTCATTCTCTGTAAAGTTCTCACCTTTAATCTTCAACTGTGTTGGGTCTAACCTGAATGAAAGACTCTCAGAATTTCTCTTTTTTGCTTGCAGGTTCATTTCACTCTTTATTCAGATAGACTCATTAAGGTATTAGTTTCTTGTTAGCACTTTTCTCTAGTTATAGGTTTTTGTTCTTTAATTGATGAATGATTCTTGTTTTTATGTGAAAAAGTTGAAGTTTTTGTAAATATGGAAAAGGGGGATTTTTCTGAGATGCTGTTAAGGATGAAAGTTTTGGCTGATGAGGTTGTTAAAGCTAAGAAATCTGAAATTCAGGTAGAGGCTTTTTCTGAGTTTGGAATGTTGGTTGAGAAATTGCTACCAATCTTGAATGAATTGAGTGATAAAAGCACTGTTTTGGACAAGCCGTCGATTCGAAAATCGTTGGAATCTCTCGAGAATGAGTTGCGTCGTGCTAGAACTTTAACGAGAAGCTTGAATTTGAGACATCCGGTTAAGCAAATCGAGGATATGACACATGATATCGGCCGGTCGTTAGGTGTTTTGCTTGTTGCGAGTCTTGAAGTTTCTATTGATTTTAGAGAACAGATTGGTATATTGCAAAGACAGATGATGAATGCAAGATTCGATGGCGTTTCGAGTATGACTTCGAGTCCAAAATCGGAGTTTTTCGTGAGTGAAATGAAGACGGTTGGGGAAATAGAAGAGGAAATAATTGATGTTTCTATTGGTGATGTGGTTTTGCAACTTAAGAATGGCAATGATGAAGAATTTGCAGTTTCGCTTCTGAGACTAAAGGAGTTTTTGAGAAATGAGAAATTGGACGGCGGTTTGATTAACGAGGAAGCAACTATTTCCATTCTTTTCAATCGTTTAAGTTCGTGTAAGGCGGATAATAGGCTCGCCATAATTCAGTTGCTTAGACAAATTGCTTTCGGAAATGACGAGAAAAAGGTATAATCTTAAAATTTTAAGTTGATTTTTACATCATTATGTTCTTATCATAAGTTCTATTTGGATATACAACTTAACTAAACGCTTATATCATAAGTTCTTATCATGTAAGTGCTTTTACATAATCTATAAGTTATAAACTGTTTTCATAAGCTTTGATGGAGAACAAATGAAAGTAAGCTAAAAACAGCTTATGGAGATCGCATAAGCTGTTTTAAAAAGTTTCACAACTCGCAAGTGCTTATAATGTGGTACAATGCAGGAGAAGATGGTCGAGGTTGAGTTTTTATCGGCAGTGGTGAAGTCTCTTACAAGGGATTCAGAAGAGAGGAGGGAAGCAGTAGGGTTGTTGCTAGATCTCTCTAACGTTCCAGCAGTTCGAAGGCGGATCGGAAGAATTCAAGGGTGTATCGTTATGTTGGTCGCCATTCTTAACGGCGATGACTCAGTTGCTTCACACGATGCCGCAAAGTTGTTGGATATTTTGTCGAGTAATAATCAAAATGCACTTCATATGGCTGAGGCCGGTTACTTTAGGCCGCTAGTTCAGTATTTGAAGGAAGGTAACGCCGGAATTTCCTTAACTGATAAGTTCAAATTTATATAAATTTTCAAACAACGATCATAAAGTTTTTTCGCATTCTATTTACTTAAAAACTTCGAATTATGTTATTGCAGGCTCTGACATGAACAAGATCCTAATGGCGACAGCACTTTCTAGGTTGGAACTTACCGATAACAGCAAACTTACTCTCGGAGAAGATGGAGCAATCGAGCCTCTTGTCAAAATGTTCGTCACAGGGAAACTTGAATCCAAGTTATCATCTCTAAACGCGCTACAAAACCTGTCTAGCTTGACCGAAAACGTGCAACGTTTAATTCAATCAGGAATTACGGGATCTTTGCTACAACTTCTTTTCTCGGTAACGTCTGTGCTCATGACACTAAGGGAGCCTGCATCGGCCATTCTTGCAAGAATTGCTCAGTCGGAATCTATTCTCGTCAACGAAGATGTTGCTCAACAGATGCTTTCACTTTTGAATCTTTCGAGCCCGATAATTCAAAGTCATCTATTAGAAGCTCTCAATAGCATGTCTTCTCATCTCGGCGCATCCAAAGTGAGAAGAAAAATGAAAGAAAAAGGTGCACTTCAACTACTCTTACCCTTTCTTCAAGAAAGTAACACCAAAATCAGGTGTAAGGTCTTGAATTTGCTATACACACTCTCTAAAGATATAACCGATGAACTAACCGAATATCTCGACGAAACTCATCTTTTAAACATTGTTAGTATTGTCTCAACGTCCACGTCGGAGAGTGAAAAAGCTGCTGCGGTTGGCATCCTGAGTAATCTTCCTGCTAGCGATAAAAAGGTAACCGATATTCTAAAAAGGGCAAATTTGCTACCGATTTTGATATCAATTTTGTATTCTAGCAATGCAAGTAAATCACCATCAACTAATAGCTTAATCGAGAGTGCTGCCGGTGTTATAAACCGCTTCACGAATTCATCCGACAAGAAACTACAACTAGTTTCAGTACAACATGGGATAATTCCTTTGCTCGTAAAACTGCTCTCGACAGGTTCACCGATTACAAAATCAAGGGCTGCAAACTCTTTAACTCAACTATCACAAAACTCTCTTTCTCTTAGGAAATCTAGAAAATCAAGATGGTTATGTGTTCAACCTTCAACAAATGCATATTGTGAAGTTCATGATGGATATTGCTTTGTGAACAGCACATTTTGTTTAGTAAAAGCGGGCGCGGTTTCTCGGCTTATCGAGATATTGGAAGATAAAGAGAAGGAAGTAGTTGAAGCTTCTCTTGTTGCACTTTCAACTCTTTTGCAAGATGAAATTTGGGAAAATGGTGTGAATTTCATTGCCAAATTATCTGGTGTGCAAGCAATTATAAAAAGTTTAGAAGTTGGTGATGCAAAGGTTCAAGAAAAAGCATTATGGATGTTGGAGAGAATATTTAAGATTGAAGAACATAGAGTGAAATATGGAGAATCTGCTCAAGTGGTGCTTATTGATTTGGCACAAAAAAGTGATTCTAGATTGAAGTCCACAGTTGCAAAAGTATTAGCTGAGCTAGAACTCTTGCAAGATCAATCAAGCTACTTTTGAAACAAGGCTTTCATTATGAGAATTACTATTGTGGAAGTGATTTAGTTTTGCAATCAATTCATTTATATTTTTTGGTGTACATGCTTGGATTTTATATTGTTTGGGATGAAACACATAGAGTCATTCAAGTGTATGTAATGATTTATTAGAAATGAAAGATTGTAAAATATACTGAGTATTGGCTGGACTAGAAAGAGTTGCTTATACTCCAAGGTGCTTAGAAAGTTATTATGGAAGAATTTGGAAGTAAAAAGTATGCATTGCCTATACACCAATGGTGGGGGGTTCGCGAAGCGTCGAGAGTATCACAATGGGCTAAATATCGAATTTTCAAGAAAATTCGACGTGGCATATTTGTCAAAAACTTTAAGATATCACGTATATGGGTCAAACCTCTTATATATTCACTTCAATGTGTTTTTTTACTCATGTTGAACTAGATTGAGAGCTATATCAATTGTTGACTTATTATCACTATAGAACTTCATTGGTTCATCCTATTTAATTTAATTTACAAATATCTGAGTTCGTCGTGCGAACTTTTCGCTATAGATTTGTCTTGTAAATTTTGAGTTCTTTTCCTATTACCTTTAATCTGAGCTGGTTCGTTGGGGTTTTGCCAGAACCTCGCATAGCGAGCATTCGCTTTCATCTCGTTAGTGTTCGCACATCGAACATGCTGATTCCTCTTCTCTTCTTTAGCTTCCTTGTCCAATCATTTGTGTCTTAATCATTGATGTTTTATGCCTATATCCTGCACAATAACACACATCAAAGAATTCAAAGATATTTGCAATATAATTGAAGAATCACACAAGAACAAGAATTAAATATATTAAAACATGAGAAATGAGTTGAAAAATGCAAAGAAAAATGATTCAATTTAAATCAAAATTTGCACTTAATACCTTTCAAAATCTTTGTGCGAGAAGAGCAATAGATTCAGTTAGGTTATTGTCAGTATCCTTTTCTACTTGGTCCTCGTCATCTTCAACGTCAGTTTTGACTGTCACACTTTTGTTTCTTTTTTCGGATTTGTCATTAATTGTCATTTCAAAGTGTGTGGAGCTCAACCAACTAGAACAAGATGTATGTTTTGATGCTAATTGAAATTGTATCTTATGGATAACAAGATGTCAGACACAATGTTATAACAATGTGCATGACAGATATAATTTGTAATAGACATAATAAATGCACAATATAAATAACACATGAGTTGGTAACTTAGTCCAGTGCAATATCACCTACGTCTGGAGGGTGTTAATCCAGTGAAATGAAATTCACTTTTAATAGTCAAAAGTACAAATTGGTCTGATTTGAACTTTCCTAATCCAATGCCTTTTTTCCTAATACTTCATGTGAACTTCTGTTCAAGCTCCCACTGAATAAAAAACTTTTCTCACCTCCAATCAAACACTCTTCCAAGTATTTGGACAATTTCAAAAGTACATGTATGATATAATGAAATTACAACTCAAATACTTTACTCTCATAACTTAGAATTGTTACTAAAGAATAGAGTATTACACAAAACAAACAAAAGATTCAAGAATAATAAAACATGTCAAGCTTAGCAGTTCAAAGTCGAAGTCTTCACAAAGGAGAACAGTTTCTTAAGTAATAACAAAAGTCCAGTTCCAAATCCCAATAGGGTTTAGATCTTGAACATGGTTGAACCTTCAAAAGCATTAAGAGATCAATTTTTAATAATGATTGACTGTAAATCTTGAATGAATTCGAATCTCTTGAAAATACAAAATCAATCTTATTAAATTTGATTCAGATTAAATCATTCCTTAATTCAAAATGTGTCAACTCAATCGGATATCTGATTGCATATAAAAGCAAACAAATCAATATGCGGGAGAGTTACTACAACCAGTCTTGTGCGCGAAGCAACCAAGAGCAAGACATGATGTCTTGTAGACTATAGGATATTATGCATAATATGTTGGTTTTCTACTAAAGTGTCTGGACCACTTAGAGATAAAATGTCTCACAACTTGATAGAATATCTTACTTCACATGTTGCCTATAAAACATTGTATGTAATAACACATAGAACTCCTTAACTCCGACACTATATATGGTAGTTGACTAATGAAATTTATTATTGTGATAGCATTTTCTTATCAAAGATACTTTAAAACTTTATTTTGGAACAATAGCACACGAGTTTGATCAATAAAATGGTTTTCTTTATTTATTTATACAATTTCATGTTATTGTTGTGTTTTCACCCAAGAAAACTCATAAATTATTCTTTATTTAAAAAAAATTAATAATGTGATTGAGGAACTTCTCTCATCTAATTATTTTAATATTTATACTAAATTCTTTTTTTATCATTAAAAAATAGAAAAAAAAACAATACTTACTTAAAATTTATTCTTAAGAAGAAAAATCCAAGGAACTCATGTGGTTTGAATATGAAATGGACCCTAAGTTTTAGTATAGACTAAATGATTACTAACATATGTGGCTTATGCATGCTCACATATTGGTTATAGTACTGGTAGAAAGTTGAGTTTGTTGCACCTCTGCAGTTCCAAAAAAAAATGTTCTTTTGTTCAATCATCATGACAAGGATAAAAAATGAAACATGAACTCCAGGAAATTCCAAGTTACTATAGAATTTCCTTTACAAACTCCATATCATACTCCAATGATTTTATGCTTATCAATGATTCTATACTCTCTTGGCTACTCTGATTACTCACTTCACCGGTACGAGTCTCGTGGTTTCATGTGTTGTTTGGATGGAAATTATCATTTTTATGAAGTAAATTTTGATCATCCAGAAATTTAGGTGTAACGCTCTAAAATAATTAGAATATTTATTTAATTTATTTATTATAAATATTTGTGATTTTTGGTGAATTTTGGTGAAATATTTTGATATCTGATGATTTGTGTTGGAGGTATTGTTGATGTTAAGAGGGTGTTGAGGATAATTAAAAATATATAATTTATTAGAATTATTTTGATAATTGTAATTATGGATAATGTGAATATCTTATTATTATTATTATTTTAAATAAATAGTCGGAAATGTGGTAAAGTTGGTGTGAATTTCATTGCCAAATTATCTGGTGTGCAAACAATTATAAAAAGTTTAGAAGTTGGTGATGCAAAGGTTCAAGAAAAAGCATTATGGATGTTGGAGAGAATATTTAAGATTGAAGAACATAGAGTGAAATATGGAGAATCTGCTCAAGTGGTACTTATTGATTTGGCACAAAAAAGTGATTCTAGATTGAAGTCCACAGTTGCAAAAGTATTAGCTGAGCTAGAACTCTTGCAAGATCAATCAAGCTACTTTTGAAACAAGGCTTTCATTATGAGAATTAGTATTGTGGAAGTGATTTAGTTTTGCAATCCATTCATTTATATTTTTTGGTGTACATGCTTGGATATTATATTGTTTGGGATGAAACACATAGAGTCATTCAAGTGTATGTAATGATTTATTAGAAATGAAAGATTGTAAAATATACTGAGTATTGGCTGGACTAGAAAGAGTTGCTTATACTCCAAGGTGCTTAGAAAGTTATTATGGAAGAATTTGGAAGTAAAAAGTATGCATGGCCTATACACCAATGGTGGGGGAGTTCGCGAAGCGTCGAGAGTATCACAATGGGCTAAATATTCAATTTTCAAGAAAATTCGACGTGACATATTTATCAAAAACTTTAAGATATCAGGTATATGGGTCAAACCTCTTATATATTCACTTCAATGTATTTTTTTACTCATGTTGAACTAGATTGAGAGCTATATCAATTGTTGACTTATTATCACCATAGAACTTCATTGGTTCATCCTATTTAATTTAATTCACAAATATCTGAGTTCGTCGTGCGAACACTTCTTCGCACAACGAACCTTTTCGCTACAGATTTGCCTTGTAAACTTTAAGTTCTTTTCCTATTACCTTTAATCTGAGCTGGTTCGCTAGGGTTTCGTCAGAACCTCGCATAGCGAGCATTTGCTTTCATCTCGTTAGTGTTCGCACATCGAACATGTTGATTCCTCTTCTCTTCATTAGCTTTCTTGTCCAATCATTTGTATCTTAATCATTGATGTTTTATGCCTATATCCTGCACAATAACACACATCAAAAAATCCAAAGGTATTTGCAATATAATTGAAGAATCACACAAGAACAAGAATTAAATTTATTAAAACATGAGAAATGAGTTGAAAAATGATTCAATTTAAATCAAAACTTGCACTTAATACCTTTCAAAATCTTTGTGCAAGAAGAGCAATGGATTCAGTTAGGTTATCGTCAGTATCCTTTACTACTTGGTCTTCGTCATCTTCAACGTCAGTTTTGACTGCCACACTTTTGTTTCTTTTTTCGGATTTTTCATTAATTGTCATTTCTAAGTGTATGGAGCTCAACCAACTAGAACAAGATGTATGTTTTGATGCTAATTGAAATTTTATCTTATGGATAACAAGATGCTAGACACAATGTTATAACAATGTGTATGACAGGTATAATTTGTAATAGACATAATAAATGCGCAATATAAATAACTAGTTTGTAATAGACATAATAAATGCGCAATATAAATAACACATGAGTTGGTAACTTAGTTCAGTGCAATATCACCTACGTTTGGAGGGTGTTAACCCAGTGAAATGAAATTCACTTTTAATAGTCAAAGGTACAAATTGGTCTGATTTGAACTCTACTAATTTAACGTCTCTTTTCCTAATACTTCATGTGAACTTCTATTCAAGCTCCCACCGAATAAAAAAATTTCTCACCTCTACTCAAACACTCTCCCAAGTATTTGGACAATTTCAAAAGTACATGAATGATATAATGAAATTACAACTCAAATACTTTACTCTCATAACTTAGAATTGTTACTCAAGAATATAGTATTACACAAAACAAACAAAAGATTCAAGAATAATAAAACATGTCAAGCTTAGCAGTTCAAAGTCAGAGTCTTCACAAAGGAGAACAGTTTCTTAAGTAA